GGAGGAGCAGTCAGTGGGGGATGCGACCAGGGCGGATTACGAGCGCCGGCACGCCGCCTTCAGCCTGTGGGCCTGCCAGCGGGACCACTCATTGGGGACGCCGACGGAGGTGGACAAGGCACTGGTGCTGTTTTTCCACGAGGAGTTCTTGGACGGGGGCGAGAGCAGCGACGCCTGGAAGCTGATGGCGGCCCTCGCTTTCGTGCGCTCGGACCTCGGACCGCGCCAGGGCCGCCTGCCGCGGGCGGCACGGGCAGCCAAGGGCTGGTCGCGCCTGGCACCGCCGCGGTCGCGCCTGCCGCTCCCTTGGCCCGTGGTGTGCCTCATCGCGGAGGTCCTGTGCCGCAGGGGCCTGGCCATGCATGCATGGCTGACCGCGCTCACGTTCGGCCTGTACTTGAGGCCGCGAGAGGCGCTGGAGCTCGTGCAGGCCCAGCTCATCCCACCAGGATTCACCTCAGCCACAACGATGCACCATTGGTGCGTGGTCCTCCATCTGTTCGAGAGGCAGACCCCGTCCAAGACAGGTGTGTTCGACGAGAGCTTGCTGGTGGACTCGACCTGCTTTCCGTGGATGCCGAACCTCGTCCAGGAGCTGCACCGCCGCACGCCCGCAGGCCACCGCCTGTTCCCAGTCACCTACGCGCAGTGGAACTACCACTTCAAGGCCGCCGTCTCCGACCTCGGCCTGCAGGTCCTGGGCAACTTGACGCTGCGCCAGCTGCGGCACGGCGGCGCGAGCCACGAGCTGTGCGCGGCGGCGCGGCCCCTCCGCGACATCCAGAAGCGCGGCAGGTGGGCCGCCGATGCCGCGCTCCGACGCTACGCCAAGGGCGGCCGCGTGCAGGAGCAGCTGCACCGCCTCCCGCGCGCCCTGCAGCTCCAAGCCGAGCAGGCGTTCCGCGGGATTGGCGCCACCCTATCGGCGAGCTGGCTTCGTGGGTGAGGCACGCCAAGGCCGGCGTCTTCCTGGAAGTCTTCAGCGGCTCTGGGCGGATGTCCGCGGCATGGCGCTTGCGCTTCCGGTCGCAGCATGCCACCTTTGAGCTGGACATTCGCCACGACACCGACAGCGACCTCCTCCGTAAGCGCATCAGACAGCTGGTGAGGGGCTGGGTGCGGAGTCGACTCATTGCCGCAATCTGGATTGCGACGCCCTGCCAGTCTATGAGCCGTGCCCGCAACCGGCCCAACGGGCCACCGCCCCTTCGGACGAAACAGTTCCCGCTGGGGTTGCCAGGCCTGTCGCCGGGAGACCAGCTCAAGGTTGAGAGAGGAAACGCGCTTGCCACTTTTAGCTTCTCTCTCTTTTTGCTAGCGCGCAGTTTGAACATACCAGTTGTAATTGAGAACCCTAGCACCTCTTGGTTGTGGCAGCTCCCAGGTGCAATCCATCTCAGTCGAATTCGTAACACTCGCATTGTAGACTTTGATTTTTGCGCGTTCTCGACCGCGTGGCGGAAGCGCACTCGGCTCTTATATTGCCATCTCAACCTCGACCCTCTCATACCGTGTAAATGTTCGGGTCGTGGTGTCTGCAGTTTCAGCCGCCGCCCCCATCAGATCCTCGAAGGCAAAGACGCCTCAGGCACCTTCTGGACGCACATTGCAGAACCGTATCACAAAGACGTGTGTAGGCTGGTAGCTAAGTGTTTCCAACAGGCTTTGCGAAACCACTCGTTTCTTAGCCTGGACAGGTTTGTGTTGGCCTAAGGCCAGGGTTTCAAAATTCGGTGTTGCTCGAGTTTTTAGATTTCGGATCGTGATTGTCTCGAGACTCGTTTTCCTTGGTCGAGGTGCCTCGCCCAGCCAGTCAATGTCGCACGGAGCTCCGGGTCGAGTCATCACACAGAGTTGCAGATGCAAAACAGTTCTGGCCCCCGAGAGTCTCCCCGGCTTGCACAGATTGCAATGGCGTGCCATAGATTCTTTGCTGCCTGTGGCGAGCGGGAGGGGGCCGCGGCCACCCGTGCTCAAGCCTCCCACCCACGCTGCGGTCCCACCGATTTTCAGCTCGAGCAGTGTCCGTTGGATCGTGATTGTCTCGGGACTCGTTTTCCTTGGTCGAGGTGCCTCGCCCAGCCAGTCAATGTCGCACGGAGCTCCGGGTCGAGTCATCACACAGAGTTGCAGATGCAAAACAGTTCTGGCCCCCGAGAGTCTCCCCGGCTTGCACAGATGTATGTATGTATGTATGTATGTATGTATGTATGTATATGTATATATATATATATATATATATATATATACACTCCTCTTCCTATATGTTTAAAAGCCCGGGCGGGGGGACCCCCCCCTCCCAAGACCGGACTCCTGGGATCTGGGGTTTTTGGGCCCTCTGGACGGGCCTCGAAGCGGCCCCCCCGGCCTCGCAGGGAGTTATGTCAAGCCTTCCCAGCACACCTAGGGCGATCAGGGGGGTCATCGGAGACGTCCCAGAGACCCCCAAGACAGCACAAGAGCGCTCCAAGAGCGACCGACGTGACCTCAAGATGGCCCAGGATGCCTCTAGGACGGTCCCAAAGGCTTCAACAAGTCTCTAAAAGCACTGCCAAGAAGGCCCCAAGAGGCAAACATCATTGATTTTCTGCGAGTTTTTGGTGAATCTTGGGGTTCTCCTCTTTTCGGCTTCCCGACGCTCCAATACGGCAGTCTTCTGGGCGTCCGAAGCCGCCTGGGAGGCTCCGAGATCGCCCCACAACCATCCGAAAAGGCTTCCAGGCAGACCAAGAGAGCCCCAAAACGGCACAACAGGGGTCAAAGATGGCCATCAGAGAGCCCCATGATTCCAAATCGTGACCCGGTCGTTCAGGGAGACCGCGGTTGGAGGCAGGGTGGCCCGAGGAAGCCCCCAGAACCTCCAGAACACGCCCAGGAGGCCTCGAGAAGGCCTTAAGAAAGCCTGAAACTTTTGTGAGGTCCCCAGAGGCTCTCCAAGGAGAAGCCTCCGCAAAAAGAGCTGAGGAGGATGGGGAAAATGCGCAGGGTATGGCGAGAACGAGGAAAAAGAAGCATGGAGGAAGGAAAACGAATAACATCATTTGAGCGGCGATGCTGGAAAAGGCAATAAGGAGTTATCGCTAACTTGTCGGCTTGACCATCCTGCCATTCTTCCTGCACACAAAGCTTCAAGGACCAAGGTGCATGGCGCGAAGCGCCACTGCGGTCTTGTGTGTGTATATGTGTGTGTGTGTGTGCAGCTGCGCGCGCGCTCGCTGCTGTACGACCTTCTCCGCCCCGTTGCCGCATGCATGGCCGCGACGCCAAAAGTGTGTGCGTGTGTGTTTGTGTGTGTGTGTGTGTGTGTGTGTGTGTGTGTGTGTGTGCGTGTGTGTGTGTGTATGCGTGCGTGCGTGCGTGCGTGCGTGCGTGCGTGCGTGCGTGCGTGCGTGCGTGCGTGCGTGCGTGCGTGTGCTTGCGTGTGCGTGCGTGCGTGCGTGCGTGCGTGCGTGTGTGTGTGTGGGTGTGTGTGCGTATGCGTGTGTGTGTGTGTGTGTGTGTGCGTATGCGTGTGTGTGTGTGTGTGTGTGTGTGTGTGCGTGTGTGGCCGCGCTGCTGGTCTGGTTCTCAGCCGACCCCGTGCACGTCCACAGCGGTCCGAGATGAAGATCGGTATACTCTTCACACGTCTTGCTCGACGTTCGACCCTGATGCTTTGTTTTAAGGCCTTCTTGACTACTTCTGCGCATTGCTTTGTGGGTCGAGCCAGAGGGCTCCCTAGTGTGGACGTTGGTGGGCGACCTAACTGGTCGGGCACAAGCTCGCATGATACTTTGGGCAGTTGGAGCAGCAGCTTGGATCCGAGCTTGTATTTTAACTGATGGTTGAGATGGATGTGTTCGCCGGCCTAAAGCGCCATCCGCTCGAGAACCAGCTCCCCTAAGCTCTCCGTTTCCAGCCTGAAATTGTACCCTTTGGTCCAGCACGGGTCCCTCGAGCAGCAGCGCCTCATAGATGCCCAGGGCTCCTCATTCGAGTAGTCTCGCAGCTCAAGTCGCAACGCGTCTTCAGCCAGCGCTCCCCTTCTATCTACGGACAACAACCAGGCGTCCGATGTTGCCGCCGAGAGACTTGGTGGACGCGTACCCTTCCGGTCTGCCTGAGGCCCGGTTTGCCTTTCATGCCTCGCTCCTGAGAACCCTCCTTCCCCTCCCCCCCTCGCTCCACCCCAGGCCTCCCCCACCACCTTCACCACCCGAGCTCTCCTTCCAGTTGCCCCTGCTGTCCCTTTCCTCTTACCCTCCTTTCCCTCTTCTCCTCATCCCCTTTCTTTCCTTCTGCCCCTCGCTTGCCCCCTCTGCATTGTTCACTTCTCCCCCTCCCCCCTTCCCCCCAAGGCGCGACGCCGTCGGCATCGCCATCTCCTCGTTCCTTCCCAGGTCTCCATAACCGATTGCCCACTTCTCCACACCCTTTCTCCTTCCAAATACCTTCTTGCCCCTCCGCCCTCCGCCCCTCCCCCCCCCTCCTCCCTCCCTCTCCCCCCCCTCTCCCCCTCCCACCGCCCTCCCTGCCGCCTGTGCATTCTCCGCCTCCCTTCCCTCCCCGCACCCTTTGGCGCCAGCGTCGCGTCCTCCCTCCCTCGTACCCTCTCTCGTTCCCTTCCTGACTCCCTTCCCAGACACCCGACGTGGTGATTTTTTCGTGACCTAACCCCAGGAGCCTGGACCCCTTCCCGGGGACCGGTTTCTATCCTGGGTCGATTTTGACAGTCCCGAGGCTCGGCGCGAGGGCCCCTGGAGGCTGAAAGTCGCGAAACACCTCCCGTCGTGATTTTTTTCACAGCGCGAGGAGGTCTGGCTTCCTCCCTCGTTCCCCCCCCTTCTCCCCCCTCCTCCCTTCCCCTCTTCCCCATCCCCCCCCTCTCTCGTTCCCTTCCTCGTCCCCTCCCCCCTTCTTTCCCACTTCCCTCCCCCCCCCTTCTCTTCCCCTCCCTCCCTCTTCCCCTCCCCCCTCCCTCCCTCTTCCCCCCCCCCCCCCGCGCCCCCGCCCCCCGAGAGGCGCGACGTCGTCGGCATCGCCAAGACGGGGTCGGGGAAGACCCTCGCCTTCGGCATCCCCGGGCTGCTTCACATCGCCGCCCAGCCGCCGCTGCAGTGGGGCGACGGCGCGCCGGCGGGGGGCGCTCGTGCCTCGCCCCGCCTGCGGTCGTCGTCGCGTCGTCGTCGTCGTCGTCGTCGTCGTCGTCGTCGTCGTCGTCGTCGTCGCCGTCGTCGTCGTCGTCGTCGTCGTCACTGTCGTCGCTGTCGTCGCGGTGGTGGTCGTCGCCTTCGTTTTTGGCGTGGTCGTGGTCGTCGTGGTCGGGTTGGTCGTCGGCAGCGTCGTCGCGTCGTCGTCGTCGTCGTCGTCGTCGTTGTCGTGGTTGTGATGGTTGTGTTTGTCATGATTGTCGTGATCGTCGTAGTGGTGGTGGCCGTCATCGTGGTCGTGGTCGTCGTCGTGGTCGTCGTGGCCGTGGTCGTGATTGGCGTGGTGGTGGTCGCCGTCTCTGTCGAAATCGGCGTCGTCGGCGTCGTCATTGTCCTCCTCCTCTTTTTCCTCCTCGTCTCATCTAGGAGCCATGCGTTAGTATCGGCACGATGTATACAGGGAAGGCAGCTCTGCTTCTGCGCAAGGGCGTGTCGCACTCATCGAGAGGGCCCGTAGGAGGAGGGCCAGCGCCGAGGGAAAGGCGCAGGGGAGGCCTCTGATGGGGAAGCTGATTTGCGATCTCCGACTTTTCAATCGGCTCGTGCTGCGAAAGGCACGCGCGCGAGCCAACAGGCACAGCATCAGATGATAGTCATGTTCTTGCTGGTAAAACCAAGGGTGTAGTTACGCCGGGGTGTGGTTTGCTATCTGCGTTGTTAGGGCTTGGGGGGCACCACGTTGCCTCGACGGGCCTCCTTGGGGCGCGGCGGAAAAATCTGTTGAGGTCCTCGCCTGCCCCCCAGGGTGCGCTTTGCAAGCCACACCCTTCGGAGTCGCCGATCCCCGCTGCTACCGGCGCCTGGCTCCCTTGGCGTTGTCGCTGGGGGGTCCGACTCCCCCCCCCTTCCCTTCCTCCTTAGTAAGAATCGGGACTGCGCACAGACCCAGACATTCGGGACCGTCAGAAGACGACTCTGAATGAGAAGCCGGTCCCACGCACGGAAGTGGTTGAGAGGAAATCGGGGGCTTGTGTGTCTCGAACAAATCGGGATGTCGGATGTCTGGGGACAGTCCCCCCAGGTGATCCCGGCTAGCCTCTTCCTCCTCCTCCTCGTGCCGAGGCGGCGCCCATGGCGTAGCAGTGGGAGCCCCAACAGTGCGCACGCATGCCTATGCACCACATATGTGGTGCATCCTGCACGTCGCCAGACCAGTAGGCGAACGTATTTTCGAGGTTATGCATTCCACCCTGCAGTTCAGCCGCATAGTAAGGATTGCAACCTTCTCAAGGGTACCCTTGCATCCCTGCCTCCTCAGTCCATCCCTGGCCACTTTCGTTGGCCGCGCCCCGCTCGAAAAGCTTCGAAATGGCCTTCCAAGGCCCTGGCATCATCCTGCATCCGTATGATACGGGTCTGCGCCCGAAGATGATGCTCAGGCCTCTGGGGCGCTCCGCGTCCTGGGGTGGGGTGGTGGTGCTGAGGCCGCCCCAGGCTGCCCGGGGGGGCCTGTTGAGGCCAGCCGCGGCTACCGGGGGGGCGGGTCTGTCTGCGGGCAGCCCGAAGCCTTGCTGTTCCAGACATCGGCTGCTCCAATGTTTTCGATGCGTGGGCCCCGGAGGTCTGGACCACTTCCCTGGAAGGGCCAGTTATTCGTCCCGAGTCGCTTTTTGACGGTCCCGAGGCCTGGCGAGGGCCCCCGGAGGCCGAAAACAGGCCAGAAATGTCCGCTCCATTTTTTGAAAGTGTCGTATCTCTGGGATCCTTGCTTCTTGCGCCGCGCGGTGCACCCATCGGCAGGTGGTGCGTATGCTCTCCACGCGCTCCCCTCCCTCCTCCTCCCACCGCCTCGTCCTGCAGCTGGCGCGCGAGTCAGTGACAGCCAGGCGGCGCGCGCTGACTGTGTTCCGGAGAGACAAAAAGCACACAGGCACAAATAAACGTCGATTCCCAGGAGGAGATGGGAAAACATGAGGGGTGGAGGGGAAGACGACCCCCCAGAAACAAATGCAAACATGGGGAATTCTGGTTTTTTTCTATGTCCCTGGGCCCTTTCATGTGCTGGGCTTCGGAGCCGGATCGATCGTGGCTCGCACGACGACTAAGCGGACAGGTGTGGAGCGGGGTCAGTCGGTATTTGTTTGGATTCTGTCCGCTCGACCCCTCTCCTCCTGCGGCTGCCACCGGATCTCACGTCTGGATCCCGCGTTTTTCGGTTGTCAAGGCCGCCAGGTCGCACAAGTCGTAGCTCGGCCTCGCCCGTTCCCCACCCGGACCCAGGCATCGGGCGTCTCGTATTTTTGAGACACGGCCTCCCGACCTCTCGACCACGTTCCAGGGACCGGCTTTTCATCCCGAACTGTTTTCTGAAGGCCCCGAGGCCTCGCAAGGGCCGCGGGAGGCTGAAATCGATGAAACCACATTCTCGATTTTTTCTCGGGCGAATGGTAGTGGGGGGTGATCCAAATTTGGTGTGAAGACCTTTAGGGCCTTTTTCCTGCACCCCCCATGTGGGCGCCACCTACCATTAGCACCCGCCCGGTTTTGTCGAGACGCCAGCTCTCTGGGGGGAGGAGGAGGGGCGCGGGGGAGCGGCGCGCGGGATGGGCGCGCGGGGGGTGCGGACGCAGCGCCGGCGGAGGGCCCCTGATGCTCGTGCTGGCGCCGACCCGCGAGCTGGCGCAGCAGATCGAGCAGGAGTTCAAGAAGGCCCTGCCCCGCCCGCCGGCTCCTGGGCGCAGGGCCTCCTGGAGGGGGGCCGCGCAGATGGGGTCGGAGGATCGCCCGCCGCATCGCCGAGGTGTCGGGGATGCGGCCCGATACCCAGACCCCCTCGCGTGGTGTGAAAAAAATCCACGACGGGCAATGCTTCCTAGCTTTCGGCGCTCCGGGGGCCCTCGGACCGTCACAGAGCGACTCCGGATGACAAATCGGACCCCGGGAAGGGGTCCAGACCTGTGGGGGAAACAATCACGACGTCGGGGGTCTGGTATGGAGCCAGATTTTCCCCACGCCGACGACGCCGATGCATCGCCGACGTCGCCAGTGCATCGCTGGTGCATCGCCGGTGCATCGGCGATGCATCGGCGATGCATCGGCGACGCGGCGCGATCCTACGACCACATTTCCTCCGACCCACCTGGGATGCCTCTATGCGCAGGCCTCCATCGGCGCCGCGCTCACTTTTCTAGAGAATCGAGATCCCGCTGGGGGGCGCGGCGCACACTCTTTGCAGATCACTTCGTCGGCGCGCCAGCGGGCGGAAATGTCGCTGTCGCCTCGGCGCCGCGCAGAGCTCGCCTGGAGATGGCGCTCCCGCCTCGCCGGGGCGGCGAGCTCTGGGGGGGAATGCCGAGGGGGGCGGGCCTCCTCAGCGGGCTCGGGAGGCCTCTTGGGCGTCAAAGGACTTTTCTTTGGCCTTCTCCGGAGGCAGATCGGTGGCGGCTTCTCGGAGGGCCGGGAGGGCTTCCGAGAAGCGCCGCCGCCTGCGAAAGGGGGCTTGCCCCCTTCCCAGACCCCCTCGGGCAAGGAACAAATCATGACGGGAGGCTTCTCCTGATCTTCGGCCTCTGGAGGTCCTTAATTACTGGCCCTCGGGACCGTCAACAGAGACACGACTCCGGATGAAAAGCTGGTCCAGGGGAATAGATCGAGACCTCTGAGGGCCCCGAGGGCCGACGTTATGACAAAAACATGACGTCGGGGGTCTGGGTTCAAACTTCCCATTCGTGGAAGGCTTCACGTGGTCGAGCTCCCACTGTATCCGCGGCGGCCCAGGCCTCCCGACCCCTTCTTCGGGTGTCGCTCTGCGCTCTCCGGATCACTTTTGGAAGGCCGCGGGGCCCGATCCTGGGCCCCAGGAGGCCGGACTCGAGGAAGCACCGCCAGACTGGAGACATCACATCTTCGAGCGGCCGCCGGAGGCTCCAAGCTGCGTTCTCGTCGGTTCTCTCGCTTGGAGCTTCTGTTGCCCCGGGACGCCTTCCAGCAGCTGGTGCCTCCCCAAGAGCGCCCCCCGGGGGGGTGCCCGAGTCGTTGAGCGGGCGGCCGCCGGGGGCCTCAAAGTCATGGCGACAACGTCGCAGAGCGGATTTCGTTCAGAAAGCACAAGGCTGGGCCTGGAGTGTCCTGGTGAATTTCGTTTCGGATTTCCAAGTGAATTTCGTGCGGATCTTTTCTGGTCAGGAATGAAGACTACAAAACATCCGCGTGACATTCGCGTCGCTTTTCGCTCGCCGTTTCGGGTATAGCTTACGCATTGCAGAGCTCCACGCAAACATCCGCTGCAGCACGCCTGCTAAGGTCGGTGCAGGGAGGGGTCACGGCTTCTCTGCCGCGTGCGGCGGGCTGTGGCCCCGCCGCCGGGCGTCCTCCTCTATGTCGATGCCGCGGGCGCCGCTGCCGCCGGGCTTCCCCTGGGAGAGCCGGTTGCGTGCCGAGAGCCCCGGCGTCGTGATCTTTTTTCTCCTGGCTTCGCCCCCCCAAGAGGCGAGGGCGCCCTCGAGGGCGCGAAGTTATTCGCGCTTCGCGCTTTGCGGTTCGGCGCTCCGTATCCTCCTCATCCTCCTCTTCTCTCTCGAAGCGCGAAGCTAGGCGCCCTTGAGAGGTCTCATAGGGCTTTCGTCGGGAGTAGTTTTTTGTTGGCGGTCCCGAGGCCCGCTCAGGGCCCCCGCAGTCAGAAGATTGCCAGAACGGCTTCCCCTTTTGATTATTTTCTGACTCGAGGGGATTTGAGTGAGCTGATTCGGTATTCCCTTTACTACCAGTCCTTGTCGTGCGTCCCTATCCTCCAGTCTTGGTATCCTTTTCATTCCTTCAAAGACACCACTACTCTTAACTCGTGTAGGCGTACCAGATAAGACCATACCCAAAACGACCATACCCAAAACGACCATGTTGAAGTCGTTTAGGTATGCTCGAAAGCGGTAGTACGTAGGATGCCGACGTGCACTTCTTATGCACGCCCAGCGACCCCACACGCTTGATTTACGCACGCAGTTACGCACGCAGACCCAAGTTGCCCCCCCCAGAGTCTTAAGACAACCGAAGGGAACCCGATCCTCCAGGCTGCCTTCTCTCCACATATCCGGCGTCTCGATTCTTCGAGACGCGGACCCCCGACCTCTCGACCATTTCCCCTGGCTCGGCGACCCGATTTCGATCCAGTTCGGGACGACTCGCTGGCGATCCGATCCGTTTCAGGCCCGATCCGATCCCGCGATCCGATGCAGTTCGGGCCTGCTTCCTCGCGCCGTGCCGAGGTCACGGCGGCAGGTCTTTGGCAAGCATGGGCTCCTGGGGGCCCTTGTGCCGGCCCCCGTGGGCAGTGATACCGAACGGCTCAGGAGTTGCGATGTTCCAACTTACTTTAGCCTTGATCGCCCGAGAGGGTTTCGAGCACCAAGAAGGTACCGAACCTGGAGGGGTTTCGCGTGTGGCGGGCCCTGGAAGGCGATACTCGTTTGACGCTTCGCTAGCGTGTCGAGCAGACACGGCGGCGATGCTTTTCTGGGTGCTCGAAATTATTCCGAGGATGTAGCCCGTAAGTACGATGCGAACTACATGACTCAGGATGAAGAGCCGGCCCCCTAGAAAGGGCCCGTGCCTCTGGGCAGGCGCGTCGCGGAACAACCCCGACGCCAGAAGCCTGGGCCTCGCCCCACTGCTGCGCCCTCCCCAGCATTCCTACGGCGTGGACAAAAGTCACGACGTCGATCCCCAGAGCTCTAGACCCCTTCCTCGGGACTGGCCTTCCATTCAGAGTATTTGTATCTGAAGGTCCTGGGGCCCGGCGAGGGCCCCTCGGAGGCTGAAACTCGTTACACATTCCTTTCGCGACCTCTCCTCGAAGACGGGAGGTGGTCGGACGGGGCTAGGACGAGGATAAATCCGTTACAGAGCGTTCCGGAGCGCTCTCAGAGCGCTCCGGAACGCTCTGTGAAGGCCGCGGCGCCCGGCACATCTCCCAGTGCCGTCAGATCCTCTGAGATTCTCGATATTGATGATATTCACTCGGATTTCTCCTCGTCCTGCCTTCGTCTCAGGTGGGGATCGCTGCCGCCTTGGCGCCGCCTTGCTCAGGTCATCCCCCCGAACCTGCGGTCCGTCTGCTGCTACGGCGGCGCGCCCAAGCGCGACCAGGCCAGCGTGCTGCGCCGGGGCGTTGAGGTCATCATCGCCACGCCTGGGCGCCTGATCGACTTCCTGCAGGATTTTCGGGGAAGGAGGAGAAGGAGGAGGAGGAGGAGGAGGAGGAGGAGGGGGAGGAGGAGGAGGAGGAGGAGGAGGAGGAGGAGGAGGAGGAGGAGGAGGAGGAGGAGGAGGAGGGGGAGGAGGAGGGGGAGAGGGGGAGGAGGAGGAGGAGGAGGAGGAGGAGGAGGAGGCCTAGACCCCGTCGGCGGGGCGTCGGCGCGACCGCGCGGCCTCCGCGCCCGCGGCGCCGAGGCCCAGCGCGCCCCGGGCCGCCGTGCGCGGCAGGGGTTCAACCCAGACATGCTCGTGTCGAAGGTCGGAGTTCGAGGGTTTCGTGCGTTTTCGTCGGTTGCCGTTGGTTTTCCCGCTTCGGGGGGCTCTCCAACAGCTGCGCCTCGCCGAGAGCGGTCGGGGGTGCCAGAATCGTCCCGAGCGGCCGCTGGAGGCTCGAGTTATGGCCCGGGAACCATTCCTGTCGAGGTGCGCAAAAAGTCACGATGGGTGGTTTTTGGCATTTGGCGGCCTCTGGAGGCACTCGCCAGGCCCCAGGACCGTCAGACAACCACTCACGATAAAAAGCCGGCTCCAGGCAGAGGGTCGTGACTTCGGGAGACCCCGTAGGGAACAAAGCAAGACATCGCATGTTTGGGAAGCCACACCGAACCCCATGATGGGCGGTTGCTGGTGAGGCATACCTCTCCTCTTCGCCGAGAGGCTCCTTGTCCCCGACGCTCCTCTTCCTCCTGCCGTGTCCCTTCCCGGCAGGTGGTTTGGTGGTGGCCCCACCGAGATGTCGGGGCACATCTTTCTCGGCGGAAGTTGGATGGATCAGCATCTGCCGCCATATGCGCAGGCACTTGGATAGGCGATAGTCAGTGTGCAGCCAGAGTATCCGTTGAGAGACAATTCCGTGAGGTGCGGCACACCTTCTCCAGTTTGCTGAGACATTGATTTCGCATAGCTAGTTGTTTGCTATCGTGTGCTGCAGAACAGCCTGTCTGGCAGTGTTTTTTTTACACAGGCTCTGCGTTTGTGCACGACGGAGTCCGCCTACGGGGCCAAGCGTTTTGCTGTTCCTCGCGCGCCGCCTGGTCGGAGCTGTGGGTCCAGGTCTGGCAGCGCATCGCAGACTGGGGAGGTGCCGATTGCATTGGCATCCGCAACGTAAAAAAAGGCACAGCACAGAAGCCCTTATCCAGTCTGGTCGGTTGTCGCGCTTGGAAACAGAAGGCAATGCTCACGCGGATGACTGGGCTCAGTGGATGGCCTCGACGGCTCGCATTCCCTCCGAGCTCCGTGAGTCCCGCACGGCCAAGGCCCTGGCCTTCTCTAGATAGGCTCAAGGGGTCGCCCGCATAGGCCCGCGTATGTGCGATATCGATTGTCAACATGTCTCGAAGAAACAGCGTGGCGCTAGTGGCAATGAGAGAATGCATCGTTCCGTGCCTGTCGTGGTTGTGGAGCCGCCATTGCCTGTTGTGCTACGCAGCCTGTCTCGTGCTGACACGTGATGCGCCCTTTCGCCGTTATAGGGGATGAGGGGCGGAGGCTTTGGTGTACGGTGTGTGTGTGTGTGTGTGTTGTGTGTGGGCTGGGGGGGGGGGAGACGAAGATCTCTGTCAACTTGTCGCAGGGCTGCCAAAGCCCTTCTGCACCTGGCACCTGGGGTGCCCGCGTGCTCGCTGGCCTCACATGCTCACCTGTCAGATTTCAGGTCCACAGTGTCTGGCGGTACCTTGTCGAGCCCTTGCGCACCGCCTCGGTCATCAGGGCTGGGGTGGTGTAACCTATCTGATGGGTCGTACTGTTCGGGAGGCGTTACCCGCCTCTGGCTACGGCCATGCGGTGGCGTAAGTGGCAAGTGGCGCGGACGAACTCGTTCGCGCTCAGGCTGGGTCCAGGAGGGAGAGAAGGAGGAGGAGGAGGAGGAGGAGGAGGAGGCGGAGGAGGAGGAGTTGGAGGAGGACGAGGAGGACGAGGAGGACGAGGAGGAAGAGGAGACGGAGGAGGAGGAGGAGGAGGAGGGGAAGGAGGTGGAGGAGGGCGAGGAGGAGGAGGAGGTGGAGGAGGAGGAGGAGGAGGAGAATCAGGAGGAGGAGGAGGAGCAGGATGATGATGATGCTGATGATGCTGATGATGCTGCTGATGATGATGATGCTGATGATGATGCTGATGATGCTGATGATGAATGATGATGATGATGATGATGTTGATGATGATGATGATGCTGATGACGATGACGATGACGTGTAATTATGATGATGATGATGATGTGATGATGTGATGTGATGATGATGATGTTGATGATGATGATGATGATGATGATGAATGATGGGCTGATGCTGATGATGATTGATGATCATGATGAGATGATGATGATGATGAGATGATGATGATTGTGCTGAAGATGATGATGATGCTGATGATGATGACGATGATGATGATGATGATGATGATGATGTGATGATGATGATGTGATGATGATGATGCTGATGATGATGATTGATGATGATGATGATGATGATGATGATGATGATGATGATGATGAGGAGAGGAGGAGGAGAGGAGGAGGGGAAGGAGGAGGAGGAGAGGAGCAGGAGGAGGGGGAGGGGGAGAGGAGGAGGAGGAGGAGGGAGGAGGAGGAAGGAGGAGGAGGAGGGAGGAAGGGGCGGAGGAGGAGGAGGAGGAGGGGAGGAGGAGGAGGAGGAGGAGGAGGAGGAGGATCAGGAGGAGGAGGAGGAGGCCGAAGAGGAGGATGAGAAGGATGATGATTTGGAGGAGCAGGAGGAGAGGGTCGAAGAGGAGGATGATTCCGCTGCATCGCCTATCAGGGCGGCGAGACGAACCTGCGCCGCGTCACCTACCTGGTCATGGACGAGGCCGTCGCGCGGAGTGAGGGAGGGGAGTGGGCTGGGGGAAAGACATGGGGAGGGGAAGGGGAGACTCCCACCTATTCTCTCGTTGCGAAAAAGATCACGACGCACGGCAATTGGCAGTCTTCGGCCTCCCTGGGCCCCCGCCAGGCCTCGGGGCTGTTAAAAACGATTTGGAGCGGACAGCCAGTCCCGGGGACGGGGTTTAGACCTTTGGAGGTCCATGTTCTGAAAACATCACGGGGTCGGAGGTGTGGGGTGGGGGGGAGACAAAGGAAGAGAGTGGCGGAGGAGCACGGGGAGCTGGGGAAGAGTGAGGAGAGGGGAGGGTTGCCAGGAGCGCGAGGGAAGGAGTTGGGTGCGACGGCGGTGGAGGTGAGAGGAGGGGAGTGGACGAGAGGGAAAGGGGTGCAACGGGAAGGCAGGAGTGCAGTGCAGTGGGAGGGAAAGGGGTGGCCTCTCCATGGTGGCTCGCGAGCTGCGGCCAGGCTGCGGCGGCGCGTCTCGGCGGTCGAGTGGCCAGATGTTCAGCGGGGGGGGGGGCAAGGAGGAAGGAGGGTTCCAGGCTCCATGCGGGCTTGACGATTTTGCTCAGCGGGAATCGAGCCAGGTAATTCAGGTTGAGTCCAGATGAGTCCGGCACGTCTATGCAAGTCTGTGTAGATCGAACGTTCTCCAGGGGATTCTGGAGGAAATCGTGCAAGCCCAGTGCGAGCTGAGGCACAGCAGAAGCCGTTAAGCTCTGAACGACGGGCAGGGGATGTCTTCGCGAGGGGCGCAAGCATGGGTTAAAGGGCGTGGGTTAGCGACGGGTCACGTCTCCGTACATGACCAGCGCGCTTCGTCTCCAAGTCCGGCGGCGCTGGCCTCACGCTTCGGGGCTATCTCCTTTCTTCTCGGTCGCCTCTATCCCAGCTCTTCGGGCTCCCCTGTGCGCATTTCGTTCCGCTGTGGCCCAGCGCTTGCTACCACCGACTCGCGTGTTCGCCGAGCCCGCGACCAACACGGTATCGGGGGCGCCTTCCTTGATCTTTTGATCTGGCGCCCACGCGCCCCACCCTCGGATCCGTTTGCAATCCATGCTAGCCTGCGCCCGAGTCTCGCGGCACCCTGCAGCTTGTATGCACCGGCTTGCGGTGGTGCCGCGCGGTGCGGTCCCGGTTTGGCGGCGCGGTCGTGCCGCTTGGTTTTGTGCGGTGCCCCGAGTTCCAACGCTTTGTGGTGCCTCATCATGCTCCCACCAGAAGTAAGGTTCTTCAGATCTTTTCCCATGGTGTGCTCTAGTAATACGTCGCTCATTTCGTGAGCTCTGGGGCTCCAGCGCACCGAAGGCCCAACAATCTCAGTTGCAACAGGACATCTTGAGGGGTCTCGCCGTCCCCGGCTCTTCACGCAGTCTGTTTTGATTTGGCTTCCAGATTTGGCGACTGGCGGCATCGGCGATGGCAGAATATCTGGCTTTCACGTTCACGGGGCAGGTGGCAGACCGACGGTGCTGGGCATATGCGGACTTCATGGGTATTGTCAGGGCAGCGGCAGGGGCGGTAGATGGGCAGCAGGCGGTGAACTCAACGTATGGTGGCGTTATGTCCCTTGCTCGCGAACTGGACGGAGCACGCCACGTCCAGAAGGTTGTACACGTCAAAGCGCATCGATCTGGTGAAGACTATGCTCAGCTTCACAGCGAGGCTCGAAGATTGATGGACACTAACGTGATAGCAGATAATTTCGCTCGCGCTGGGGCCGAAATGCATGCAGGAGCTTCGCTTGAGTTTAATGAGGAGATTCGTGCTGGGTAAGAGAGAGCTCAATGCCTCGCCAAACTTGCTGCTCATATCTTGCCGCTCTATCCCAAGGATGAGGAGCGTTGGACCAGAGCTTCTACTGGGTTAAAGCGAGTGCGGAGCACAAGGAAGCAAGGGTGGCATCAGTGCCTAGATACTGGGTTCGGCCAACAATGCTCCCCATGCTTGCAGCTTCGACGGCAAGGGGATCATGATGAATTCACGGGCTGCTGTGGCACACCTGGCTGTCTGATTGACTTTTTGAAGGACCCGATGGGGCACAAGCTTTTTGCTGTCAACCAGAAGGGGGACCTTACTTCTGTCAGTGGCGGCACGGTATTCGTCTGTGTTGGTTGTGGAGCGTGGGCGCATCAGAGGCGGAATCTCAGGCTGAGGTCACACTGTAGCGCTCCGACTGTGAAGGGAGCTGAGGTCTTACACAACTTGAGGCAGGGTATTGGACCACACCGAGAGCTCGCCAAGTACATAGATGCCACAGTTCAGATCCAGAGGATCGCGAAGGAGGTGTCTAAGCCTGTGATGACCACCACCTCCATCCAGCGGCCTTCTCCTGATGGGCCTTATCCGTTTGAGGTTCGAATGGCAGCGCTGCGTGAACGTATCAAGCAGAAGGAGCAGGAGATGAGGCAGACCTTGGACGAGCAGAACACTCTCCTGGGCCAGCGCCTTGCTGCTGGTGCGGCTGCGGAGCATAGGCGGCATCGTATTTGAGACGGCTGTTCCGTCAGTGCTTAGGAGAACAGTCCAGGGTGTTGTTGCGGCTGCGGAAGACAACCGACATGTGTTTTAACACCAGCTTTTCCGCCAGTGCTTAGGAGAACACCTTCGGCGGCACAGCAACACGTAATTCAGTCTGGATGGGTTCTTCTATGGAATGCTGGCGTTCAGACTTCCAGAACTTCGAGAAGTTCGACTTCGTTCCCTGAAGGGCGTGTGGGCCTAGTGCTGCGCACGTTGTTGCTCTACCAGCCGCTGAGCAGGGCGGCCGAGTGCTCGACCATGAGGCAGGACCGCTGTTTCGGCGTCGCTCTATCTATCTATCGATCTATCTATCTATCTATCTATCTATTTATCTAGCTATATATCTATCTATTTATATATCGATATATCTACCTATATATCTATCTATCTATCTATCTATCTATCTATCTATCTATCTATCTATCTATCTATCTATCTATCTATATATATATCTATGTATATCTATCTATCTATCTATCTATCTATCTATCTATCTATACTCCTCCTCCTCCTCCTCCTCCTCCTTCATCCTCCCTTCTCCCTTTCCTCTCCCCTCTCCTCTTCCTTTCTTCCTCCTCTCCTCCCATCCTCTCTCTTCCTCCTTTCTTCCTCCTCCTCATTCGGTGCGCGTCCTCCGTCCCCCAAGCTGTGAGGGTGCATCCCTGAGATTGCCATCGCACTGGGCTTGTCAAGTCTAGTGCTATAGGGATGAGCTCGAGGCTGGTCTGATTGGTCTGAGTTTTCCTGATTCTATGCTGTTGCACTTAGAGCCTGGGTCCTCGGGTCCAAGGTCGCCCCCCCGGACTCATCCAGGGGTGCTGTCCTGCCCAGGATTTCGAGGCGCACAAAGCCGTGGCGACGAGGAAGCCCGAAGAAGGTCCAAAGCGTCCAGAACCCTCGATTCTCGAGCCTTCGGTCCTCTAGTCTCCTGTCCTCTCGCACAGTCCTCCCTCTCCCCCCCTCGGTCCTGTATACGGGCCGCCCATCGGGTCGCGGAGGGAGCCGCGCCGCGCGCCTCGCCTCGCAGCGCCACGGAGGAGAGAAAACCAGGACTCGAAGATCACAGGTGGGTCTGGTGGGGTGGTGGATTGGCGGGGGGGGAGGCTCCTCCTTCCAGGGTCCATGTCGATCCGATCGATTCGATTATATGTCGATCCGGTTCGATTCTGGTATGCTGACGATCCAACACGGCTCAATGCCTACATGGCGCTGTTGTGTATCCTGGCGCAGCCGCTCCGATTCGACTTCGATTTTTTGAAGATGCAGCCCGGTCCGATCCACATTTCGATTCGATCAGGCTTGCTGCTTCGATACTGACTGATCATGCCTTCCATTCCCCCCTTCCTTTGAGCGTTTTCGTATCGAGGCATCCCCCAGGTGCCGACCCTGTGAGAATGCGGGAGGATCACCGGATGCTTGTTGCGCACCCCCAAACCTTCCTCCCCTTCCACTTTCCCCCTCCCTCGTCTGCCTCCCCCCCCCGCCCCCCCCCCTTCTTCTCCCCTTCCAGTCACCCCTTTCCCTTCCCTCCCCTGGACGAGGAGGAGGAGGAAACAGAGGAGGAGGATGAGGATGAGGATGACGATGATGATGACGACGACGATGATGATGATGATGATGATGATGATGATGATGATGATGATGATGATGATGATGATGATGATGATGACTATGACGATGACGATGATGCTTATGATGATGGTGTTAAGGATGATGATGTTGATGGTGATCCTGATGATGATGATTATGATGTGGATGCTGATGCTGATGCTGGTGATGCTGATTATGATAACCATGCTGCTGATAATGATGATGATGCTGCTGCTGATGATGATGATGATGATGATGATGATTCTGAGGCGGATGATGATGCTGCTACTGATGAGGATGCTGATTATGATTATGAGTCTGACGATTATGCTGATGATGCTGAGGCTGATGATGATGAAGCTGCTGATGATGATGATGGTGATGATGGCGATGGTAATGGTGATGATGCTGCTGCTGATGCTGATGATGGTGATGCTGATGCTGCTGTTGCCGATGAGGATGATGCTGATGGTGATAATGAGGATGTTGATGATGGTGCTGATGATGGTGGTGATGATGCTGGTGGTGTTGGTGGTGATGGCGTTGATGATGACGATGGTTGTGATGATGCTGATGAGGAGGAGGAGAAGGAGGAGGATGAGGCGGAGGAGGAGGATGAGGCGGAGGAGGAGAAGGAGGAGGAGGAGGCGGAGGACGAGGAGGAGGAGGAGGAGCAGGAGGAGGAGGAGGAGGAGGAGGAGGAGGAGGACGATGCGTTGGCGTCGGCGGGGGCCCTCGGACAGGACGCGGATCGCGCGGCACTCGCGGTGGACATGGATCGCCGCTTGCAGGAGTCTGGCCGCTCACTGACCGCGACTTCGTGCGATCCTATTGTGGGGATAACCAGCCAGCCGCAGGCCAGTCGATAGGCCTATGTTTTCTGTGATCTTTCAGTAGCCTTGCTACAGTCGGGCCGAGGTATAAGATCGAGGTCGGTTCGGGGAGGGTGCCCTGGTGATCTTCGTACTTGTTGAATGTTCTTGTGCATCCTGTCTGTTTTGGCTGATGGAGGGTCTCATGTTCTTGAAGGATGTTCTGATTGCCTAGGTCCGACTGTACCTGGCACGTGCTGGCTGAACTGTCCGCGCTCGGCCTTCCGTGCCACGCAGGTCCACGCAGAACGATAGAGTGCGGTGTGCAGCACGACGGCCCAGGCCGTCCCGATACAGCATTGCAGTCGGCGCCACCGCGCCGTCGCGGCCGGCGCAGCCGAGGAGGAGGAGGAGGAGGAGGAGGAGGAGGAGGAGGAGGAGGGGGGATATGGGACGTAGCAGTAGTATGAGGGGAGAGGATCGAGGAGGAGGAGGAGGAGGAGGGAGGAGGTGGAGGAGGAGGAGGGGAGGTTTAGGGGGGAGGAGGAGGAGGGGCAGGAGCAGGAGCAGGAGCAATAAGCGCAGGAGGAGTGGCAGTATGACGCCCATGCCGCTGTCAACGGAGCTGCAGCAGGCGGCGGAGGAGCAGTAGGAGGCGGGGCAGGAGGCGCAGGAGGAGGCGGATGGGGGCGTAGGAGGAGGAGGAGGAGGAGCGGCAGAAGTGGCCTCAGGAAAGCGGCCGCGGGAGGAGGGGCATGTGGAGGAGGAGGAGGGGGAGGAGGAGGCCCCCCGCCCCTCCCCTGCCACCCTCCCCTCCTTTCCATGCCTCCTCTCCCTGGGCTCTGCCCACGTCCCCGCCTCGGCGGGTGGGGCTCCGTCAGCCCCCGCCCGCTGCTGCTGGGCCAACAGGCGGATCGCATGCTCGACATGGGTTTCGAGCCAGACATGCGCAAGATCGTGGGGCAGATCCGGCCGGATCGGTCCGCGCGGGGAGGACCAGCATGATGATGGTGTTAAAGCGGATGCTGGAGATGATGATGAACGATGGTGGTGTTGCTGTTGATGCTGATGATGCCGATGGTGATGGTGCTGGTGCTGCTGATGAGGATGCGGCTGATGCTGCTGATGATGCTGATGATGATGATGTTGATGTTGATGATGATGATGATGATGCTGATGATGATGATGATGATGATGATGACTATGATGATGCTGGTAAGGCTGATGATGCTGGTGATGGTGATGCTGGTGATGCTGGTGAAGATGATGCTGGTGATGCTGATGATGCTGGTGATGGTGATGCTGGTTATGATAATGCTGTTGATGATGATGATGATGATGCTGATGCTGATGCTGATGCTGATGATCATGCTGCTGCTGATGATGTTGATGTGGATGCTGCTGCTGCTGGTTATGCTGACGACGGTGATGGTGATAATGATGACGGTGGTGGTGGTGGTGGGGTTGATGATGGTGATGACCATGCTGATAGTAGTGATGATACGCTGACGATGATACTGTTGACGCTGATGAGGATACTGATGATGAAGAGGATGATGCTGACGCTGATGCTGATGCTGATGATGGTGCTGATGCTGCTGATATCGATGATGATGCTGATGCTCATGCTGATGCCGATGCTGATGCTGATGAGGATGCTGATGCTGCTGCTGATACGGCTGATACTGCTGATGCTGATGCTTTGGTGATGATGATGATGATGATGATGTTGATGAATATGCTGTTGATGATGGTGATGATGCTGATTATGGCGGTGATGCTGATGATGACGAGGATGCCGATGCTGATGCTGATGATGATGATGCTGATGATGCTGATGATGCTGATGAATATGATGATAGCAATGATGATGCTGATGCTGTTGATGATGCTGTTGGTGATGCTGCTGTTGACGATACTGATGCGGGTGATGATGATTTTTTGATGGTGTTGATGGCGATGACGTTGATGATGACGATGGGGGTGGTGGTGATTGTGAGATGCGGAGTTGGAGGAGGAGGCGCAGTATGAGGAGGAGGAGGATGAGGAGGAGGAGGACGAGATCAAGAGGAGGAGGAGGAGGAGGAGGAGGAGGAGGAGTAGGAGCGGGAGGAGGAGGAGGAGGAGGAGGAGGAGGAGGAGGAGGATACGGGATGAGGATGATGCTGCTGCTGCGGAGGAGGGGGAGAAGGAGGAGGAGGAGGACGAGCAGCAGGATGAGGAGGAGGGGGAGGGTGATAGGGTGCTGTAGGAGGGAGAGGGTAATGATGAAGATGGGGATGGTAACGAAGCGGATGAGGAGGGTGAGAATCATAGTACTCATACGAAGTTGGTGGTGATGATGATCGTGATGACAATGATGAGGATGAGGATGAGGATGAGGATGATGATGATGCTGATGCTGATGCTGATGATGATGATGATGATGATGATGATGATGCTGATAAAGATGATGATGCTGAATCAGATGATGATGCTGATGGTGATGCTGATGATCATGATGCTGCTGATGATGATGAGGAGGAGAAGGAGGAGAAGAGGGATGAGGTGCATGGGGTGGCGTCGACGGGAGATGGTAATGATGAGGATGGGGGGAGACGCAAGAGGAGGAGGACGAGGAGGAGGGGGATCGTGATCAGCAGGGTGATGACGCTGATGATGATGATGATGATGATGATGATGATGATGATGATGATGATGATGATGATGATGATGATGAGCAGCAGTAAGGTGAGGAACCGGATGATGAGAAGGATCAGGATGCTGCTGATAACGGTGCTGTTGATGAGGGTGATGATGACGGCGCTGCTGCTGATAGTCATGGTGTTGATTGTGAGGATGCTAGTTTTTTGATGATCGTCGTGGTGATGATGCCGATGACGCTGATGCTGCTGATGACGATGCTGATGATGCTGCTGCTGATGATGCTGATGATGATGCTGGTGATGACGATAAGGAGTATAATCTTACGGACGTCGATACATATTCTGATGCTGACGATGATGGCGAGTGATGTTGACGATGATGGTTATGCTGACGACGATGCTGATGCTGATGCTGCTGCTGCTGATGATGATGATGAGTATGTTATTGATGCTGATGGTGCTGATGCTGCTCACGATGGTGCTGCTGCTTTTGATGCAGCTACTGATGCTGATGATGTTCGTGTTGATGCTGACGACGATGACGATGTGGTGTTGCTGGTGTTGCTGGTGGTGATGCTGAGGCTGAGGATAAGGATGCTGCTGCGGATGATGATGACGATGCTGATCATGAGGATGATGGCGATGGCGATGAAGATGATGAGTATGATGATGCTGACGATTCTGATGATGCTGATGATGCTGATGATGATGGTGCTGATGATGATGATGAGGATAATGCTAATGATGACGACGATGATGAACATTCTGCTGCTGCTGGTGCTGATGTTGATGCTGACGAGGATGCTAATGACGATGTTGACAAGGACGATGGCGACGACGATGATGATGATGATGGTGGTGGTGGTGGTGATTATGATGCTGATGACGATGACGATGGCGATGACGATGGCGATGACGATGGCGATGCCGATGACGATGATGATGATGCTGATGAGGATGTTGATGATGATAATGCTGGTCATGATGATGCTGATGGTAACGTTGAGGATGGTAATGCTGATGATGCTAATGATGCTCATGATGTTGATGACAATGCTGACGAGGACGGCAATGATGATGCTGACGGTGTTGTGGATGATAATGCTGATGATGTTGCTGCTGCTGCTGCTGATGCTGCTGATGATGATGTTGATAATGCTGGTGATGATGATGATGCTGATGATGGTGATTTATGGTGATGATGCTGCTAAGGATGATCATGGTGATGCTGCTGATGCTGATGATGATGAGGCTGATGCTGATGATGATGAGGCTGATGATGATGATGATGATGATGATGATCATCTGATGCTGCTGGTTATGATGATGACGACGACGACGACGACGATGATGATGATGATGATGATGATGATGTGATGTGATGCTGTGCTGATGAAGATGAGGATGAGGATTGAGGTGAGGTGGACTCTTATGATGATAAGAAGAGGAGAGAGGAGGAGGAGGAGCAGCAGGATGAGGAGGAGCAGGAGGAGGAGGAGGAGGAGAGGAGGATCTGAGAATCGGGCGTCTCATTTCTGGCGGCGTTTTTGCCTGGTTTGGGTCACTGGATCTTCTCGGATCGTCAGTCGAGAATGTTGCAGAAGATAGGGGCATGGCTGACCAGGCTGCACCAGGCATGATGAGTCTTTTTGTTTTGCGATTTAGTCGGATTCCAGGGAAGGATAGGGATGAGGAGGAGGGGGATTGGAGGAAAGGGGCGCGTCGACTTTAGGGGCCTTTCGGCTTTGGGGTTTCTTAGGCCCTGGGCTTCAGCAAGGGGACGCCCCAGCGCCGCACAGACCCATCTTGCTGGGTCCCGGGTGTTGTCTGGAGGTAGGAAAGGGGTGTGGCATAAAGGGGTGTGGTGCCAATCGTGGAAATCGAGATGCTACCTACGATAGGTGGCATCGCCAGACTCAGCCTTGGCACCACACCCCTTTATGCCACACCCCTTTCCTACCTCCAGACTT